AAAGGGTTAAATCGAGATCAAGTTGAGAAAACACCTAAAGGAATGAGACTAAAGCCCATGAAATTTAAAGGCATTATATGAAGGAAAACCCTACCTTGTTGACTGGAGATCCCAAGATCTAGGTTCAAAGGGATAACCTAATTGCATAAGCCATGTACAATCACTGTAGGGGTTTATTATTCCAAATCTGTTCTTATGATGTAAATAGTGATCAAAATGGTATAGGCTAAGCAAAAATCTTTTATTAACCATTTTGTGTTGCAGTGAGCCGAGCAACATAATTCACATATGTGAGAGTGAAGTAGGGCCGCTTCAAGGAGGCTATTGGGCATAGTTATTTCAAACTCTTGTAGAACCAGATAGATGTTCATGTATATAGCCATGATAACTAAATTCTTGTCAAAAGGATAGTTGTGTGAAGTATGTCATCATTTACACAAACTTCAGAATAGTTCAAGGATATCGTGTCTACTATTTAACAAATAAAGTAAATTTACTCACAAGGGAAGGTTCAAAGGAGGACACCTTCCTATCCTATACAACTATCGATCGTAGAGGCTATCACCACATTGTGTCAAAATGTTTTTGATTAAATCATCAATTTCATTCATATAAGGAATTAATGTAAAAAGGGTTAATTACATTGATATATTTAATATTTATATTAAATTTAGAGTTCTTTTAACAATCGCAAGTTAACAGATAATTTTAATTTGAATATTAATGGAATAATTACTTTTTGAATATGCCAATTTAAAATGGTGTTTGTTATCTTTTTAAATTTGAATATTAAAGACAATTATATACTTTTTTTATATTTCAAATTAAAATAATATCTATTTAAGGTTGAATGGTAAAAGGAGTTTATCTTTTGAATATTTCAAATTAACAGATATTATCATATGGTTAACATTGAATATTAAAAGATATATGTTGGATTAAATCTATCTTGAAAATCCCCAATAAATAGTGAGTTAACATGCTAGGTTAATTACAAGTTTTGACAAGTTTGAAAAGTTTTCACAAGTTTTCATATCTCAGAACTGAAAAACTTTTCTTCTCTTGAAAAATATTTTCTCTCATTCCTAGAAAATTTTATTTTCCATGAGTTTTGCGGTGATAGTTGAAGGCAAGGTTCGTTTTTTATCTCTGCAGATGTGCTACTGTAGTTGATCATAAGTTTTTGTATCCTGGGAGACAGAAGACCAACAAACTTGAGCACCAAATGAATGGCCAAAATTATGTTTTAAGCAAACTGTATAGCGACATGCCTAAACTATTTTCTATCTAAAGATCAAAATCAAAAAGTATTTTATCTTCCATTTGTTTTATTTTATTTTTTAAAGAAATTAATTTCTTTTTTTTAATTTTTCAGGTTTCAAATTTCGTCTCGGATTATTATCGTAGTTAACATTAATATGCTTTTGAAGCTATTTAGAAGTTCTAATTTAAAGCTCTTCAAGAGTTCCAATAATGTTCAAATTATCAATATATAAAATAAATATAACATATTTTAACCATGATGTATTTATAAAGATACATGAGCACGTTGGATCATCATTATAACCTTAAAAAGCATTTATTGAGTCAGTTATGTCATATACACTCAGACTGGTTTATTATATCTTAATATTTAAGAATACATTTTTCTATAAAATTCCAAAGAATTTTCAAATGCTTCTTCTAGCATTTATTATCCTTCAATAATAAATTTTACTATAAAGGAACCCACAAAATCATTAGATGCTTTATAAAAAAATTCATAACTATCAGACTATTAAAGTAATTCAATCCACCATGAAATAATTTTAAAAAAATCATAATTCAAGTCATATTTTATATTTTGCGACTACTCATTTATACCTCACTTACATTATACCTTTAAATGCTTAGATTACTTGTAACACCCAAATCCGAGATTAGTAGATTCAAGTTGATCCTAGAGTTTACATGAGCTTATTAACCTTATAAGGAAAATTTGACCCATATAGATTCACAGTTGTGCCTTGCTTTGAGCCCAATTCAAGATGATAAATGATAGTTTTATTATTGAGATAAAAAGAGAAGGACTAAAAGACAATTATACCATTGTTTGAATTTAGAGTTGAAAACCATTAAAAGGGATGGGTTTCACATGGTTTTTCACCCTTAACTCATTAAACACAATTTCTTTTTTCTTCTTCTTTTCTCTCATCCTCTTTATTTTTAAAGTTAGGCAAAGGCAGAATCTTTAAGAATTTATAAGCTTAGTTGGTTTAGCAAAGGTAAGAATGCTAATCTTTATCCTTTAAACTTCAATTTAAGCCCCACATTACAAGTTTTAGTCATAAACTCCAAAAATGGGTTTAGGGGGAGGTTTAAGAAAATTAAATGGTTCTATCCCCTTTTTCAGTGGATTCCAATTATAGGAAGTGTTCTAACTTAAATTCAAGAACCTAATTGAGTCAATAATTCATTTTCTTGCTTTGTGAATGAAGGAAGTAGGGGAGAGCTCTAAAGCCAGAAGAAAAGAGAAATTAACCCTTGGATGATTTTGAGAAAGTTTTTACCAGCTAGAACACCAAGGTAACACAATCACATCTTATTTAAACCATATATGAGGCATGTTAAGTGTCTATAGCTAGCGAGATGACTCATAGAGCATGGTATAACATTTCATGGTAGATTCCATGTTTTGGTTCTTAAGTATGTTCTAAAGCCTTTATTATAACCCTTGTAACTCACATAAAATACTAATAATGATTGAGATCAATAAAATAGTTTGGGTAAGTTTGAGTGTTAAATTTGAGCCCAAACAAGATATTTTCGAGCGTGGGTATCAGTACTAGAAGAACAATACTGATAATATTCTTAGAAGAGGCATAAAATCAAAGTGATTTTTTAGGAGAGTATCGATACTCGTTATAAGAGTATCAATACGTAGGGTTTGGTTTCAAAACGAGAAGGATGAGTATCGAGGCTGTTTTTCTAGAGGGCATTTTCTTATAGGTACCCAAGGGAGTATTGATACCTAGGGTAGAGTATCACTACTCCCTATAGGAGTATCCATACTGAGGATAATTTTCAGAACATTGAACCAAAAATTGGTATTCAATACCCAGGTCAGTATCGATAGCTTAGCTTAGGAGTATTGATATTGATCCAACAGTATCGATACTACCCTTTTTCTATCAATTAAAAATAGTAGTAGAGTATCGATACCCTAGGTGGAGTATCGATACCCTAGGTGGAGTATCGATACTCAAAGGTTAATACCTGATAACTCTCCAAAAGAATTATCTTTAGTAGTCTTTTTACCTAGGTTTAGTTTGAACTTGAGCATGTTTAAGAGCATTTTAAAATTACTTAGTTATTTTGCACATTTTGCATGATAGGAGCATTGTGGGTTACTAAGGGATAAAATAAATTTTGCTATTGAAAATTGTACACTGATGCCATAACATTGCAGGAAATAAAGCTTCAGATGGTTAGGGGAAACTCTGGGTTAGGACAGTTGGCTCTGGCAGTTTTCATTTGGTTGTATATCACATGAAACATGGATATTTTTATTGGGAGATGAAATTTCCATCCAATCTATAAAAGGGGAGTACTTGAGCACAAAAAGTGTGACGCTTAAGAGCCTTTCCAAGTACCCAATTCTCCACGTTAAATATTTAAACACATGGAAGCCTAAGCCCTTTGCTTGGATTATTGCAGCACAAGGGAAACTTGCTGAGTAGCTTCAATAGTCAGTAGATCTCCATTCAAGGCCTTCTATTGAGAAAGAGAATGATTTGAATGCTTAAACCTTTGTTGGATAATATTATGAATTTCATATTTTGTGTTTACTTTGATACTTATTTTATGAGCTTAGAACTTGATGATTGTGAGTAGAAATACTTATAATTAATTATATAGTATTTTTGATTAAATCTAGAAATAATTTCAGTCGATTTGTTATATACATTCGTGAGCATTCGTGTTGTTGAGTAGCATAATATATGCTGAAAAGTATGCAACCAATTGATTAGTGTTGTTAATATTTTGAGCCTTTAATTGATGAAAGTGGTTAAAGTAGTTCAAGAGGTTTTAATCAATGATAATTGTATAAATTGAGTACACATTGTATGCATGAGATTTGGAGTTCATAATTTTGTATCCATTGATTTAATAGCTGACCAAGTGCTTCCTGGAATGTTGTAGCATGAACTGGTGTTTTTCCTTATTGATTTTAATATTTTCTTTTTAGCATCTCTTATATTTGATAAATCATATTTTTCAAGCTCTAATGATAACATTCTGCTCCATGTGGGTTCAACATCTGTAGCATCAATTGCTACCACATTATTCCTTGAGCGATATGTATACTTACGTTAAATGCTATAGCATCTTACGTAGCATCAAGTTTTTGGTGCCGTTATCGGGGATCATCGATTTGATTTAGAGTTCCCTTAATTTTTCTTATTTGTTTGTTTTCTTTTGTAGGTATTCTTAGTTTTTATTTTTTACTGGTGTATAGCCCAAAGCAACGAAGAATTAGAGTCGTTTGATCCATAGATTGAAAGAAAATTTCAGAGACATCGCCGTGAAGCTGATATGGATAGACAAGATAATGATATTTTACCCCAATGTAAAATGGAGAGAATGATCATAATAGTCTTATTCATGAGCATGTGGTACCGACATTAGATGATCTGCATCCAGCCATTGTAAGGCTAGTTATTAATGATACAAATTTCGAATTAAAGTCAGTTATGTTCCAAATATTGCAATATATGGGACAATATGGAGGATCTATTGATGAAGATCCTAGGGCTCATTTGAGAGCATTTATAGAGGTTTGCAATTCTTTTATTCAACAAGCTGTTCCGAAGGAGGCACTTAAGATGAAGATATTTCCTTATTTGCTGCGTTATAAAACACATGTTTGGTTGAGTTCACTTCTACCAGGTGCTATAGCATCCTGGAATGAATTAGCGTAGAAATTCTTGTTGCGGTTCAACCCACCGAATATGAATGCTAAGCTTCAAAATGATTTAACTTCATTCAAGTAGTTAGAAGATGAAAGCTTGTATGAAGCATGTGAAAGATTTAAAGAATTTCTTTATAAGTGCCCTATGCATGGATTCCCACATTTGACACAAATAAAGATGTTTTTTAATGGGATAAATATACACACTTGTATGATGGTGGATGCTTGAGCAAATAGAGCTTTGCTAGATAAGACATACAATGAAGCATACATATCCTCAAAAGAATCTCCACTAATGATTGCCAATATCCTAATACGTGAAACACGTTTAGCCAGCGTGGTGCTGCAGCAGTAGACTCTGAAGCTTTCAACTCTATGGAATCTCAGATTTCAGCATTAACTGAAATGGTGAAGAAATTGCACAAACTAGGAGGAATACATGAAGTTAAAGCCGTATCTCTTATTACTTGTATATATTGTGGCGATGACCATAATTTTGATGAATGCCCCAAAATATGGATTCTATCTATTATGTTCGAATTTACCAAATGAGTAATAATGCTTTTGGTAATACATACAATGTAAATTTTATAAATCATCATAATATTTATTGGAGAAGTCAGAATATTGTCAATCCATAGCACCAACAGTATCAACAACAACATTACACTCAGTAGAGTCAAATGCCCTAACACATGTACAACAATTTGTTACTCAGCCACAACAAAGGCATAATTACCAATGTCAATCTTCAAGCCAAACTCCAGCTTTAACACATTTTGAAGCAATGATGAAAGAATATATAATGAGCCAATATGCCTTATTAAGGCTATAGAGAATTAAATGGGCCAAATAGCTAATGCTCTAAATAGTTGATTGTAAGGAATACTTTCTAGCGACATTGAGAATCCCAAACAAAATGGTAAAGAGCATTGCAAGGCTGTTACAAAAAGAAGTGGAATTCATATTGGGGAACCAGTGGAAGAACCGAGGGGAAATAATGACATAACTTATAAGCATGTCAAAGGGAAGAGCAAGGAAGTTGAGCTTGGATCGCATGAGAGTCAATTTACAGTACCAGATGCATGACAGAGTAGTAATTCAGAATCGTTGCCGATAGCAACCCCTACTACATCTAACTCTCCAAAAGAGTTATCTTTAATAACCGTTTTCACCTAGGTTTAGTTTGAACTTAAGAATGTTTAAGAGCATTTTATAATTAAAATTACTTAGTTATTTTGCACATTTTGCATGATAGGAGCATTGTGGGTTGCTAAGGGTTAAAATAATTTTTTGCCGTTGAAAACTGTACACTGATGTCGTAGCTTTGCAAAAAATCCTAAGCGGATGCTGTAATAGTTATCTAAGCTCTAGACGGTTGGGGGAAACTTCTGGATTGGGACAACTAGCTCGAGCAGCTGTCATTTGCCTGTATATCACCTGAAACATGGACATCTTTTATTCCATCCAAGCTATAAAATGGGTGTACTTGAGCACAGAAAGTGTGACGTTCAAGAGCATTTCCAAGTACTCAATTCTCCACGTTAAATCTTCAAACACATGGAACCCTAAGCCTTCTGCTAGGGATTGCTGCAACACAAGGGAAACTTGCTAAGTAGCTTCAGCAGTTAGCGAATCTCCATTCAAGGCCTTTTATTGAGAAAGGGAGTGATTTGAATCCTTAAACCTTTGTTGGATGACATTATGAATTTCATATTTTGTGTTTACTTTGATACTTATTTTATGAACTTAGAACTTGATGATTATGAGTAGAAATACTTATAATTGAATAAATAGTATTTTTGATTAAATCTAGAAATAGTTTCAGTCGATTTGGTATATACCTTCTTTAGTATTGGTGTTGCTAAGTAGCATAGTGTATGCTGAAAAGTATACAACCAATTGATTAGTTCTGTTAATATTTTGAGCCTTTAATTGATGAAAGTGGTTAAAGTAGTTCAAGAGTTTTTAAATAATGCTAATTGCATAAATTGAGTATACATTGTATGCATAAGATTTTGAGTTCATAATTTTGTATCCATTGATTTAATAGCTGACCAAGTGCTTCTTGGAATACTGTAGCATGAACTAGTGTTTTTCCTTATTGATTTTGATATTTTCTTTTTAGCATCTCTTATATTTGATAAATCTTATTTTGCAAACTCTAATGATAACATTATGCTCACTGTGGGTTCGAAATTCGTAGCATCAATTGCTACCACTTTATTACTTGACCGATACATATACATGTGTTAAATGTTATAGCATCTTACGTAGCATCAATATCGATACCGAGAGATCAGTATCGGTACCAATGTACATTGTTGGGACATAAATTTCAAGGAAATTTAAAAGGTAATGAGGTTTCTAAAAAACTGCGTATTTACTCTCGAATAAGATTACAAGCGAGAACAAGAATATACATTAGAAACGAGATCAATAAGGGATACATAAAATTTACCTTAATTGATGCTCGGGAAATAATAAGGACACCCAAGTTTCTTTAGTAAAGATGTTGGTGTCGAGAAATAACATTTGTCTGGATATCCTTAGGTAGTGCGCGAGGCACTTTAAACTAACTAACTATGATTTAGGCATGACACTCGCAAGGGGTGGGTTAGTCTAGAGTGTTACGTTTGATGTAGAGATTTTGGAGCTCATCCTCTGTAGACTAGAGGGGTGCATGAGCTCTGAGATGCAGAACCCTCAACCGTACCATGATGTCTGCCATAAAGTAGAGAGTGAAGTATTTGAGTATACTCACTATTGCATTGCACTTGATAGCTTGAGCATATGATGAACACTTTTAGTATAGTTTAGTTGTTAGTGTGACACTGGGCTAGTGAGCTCAGCGTTTAGAATTTGTTCAGTGCACATGTATATAAGAGGAGCAGTCGAAGAGCCCTTTTGAGCAGCAATTTCTCAGACCGATTGCAAAGTAGAGTACGTCTCAAGATATCTTCTTTATAGAGCATGTATTATTTGTAGACCCTTTGTTATATTTACGCAATAACTTAATTTGAAACACTAGGTTGTATATTTTTATATATTTATTTTGGGAGCTCCACGATGTAAACATATTTATACTTTATGTTGAATTTCTTTATTCGAATTGGTTTTAAATGGACGTTTTAACTAAGAAATTAAGAAAATTTTTGGGTTACCACTCTGGTGGTTCTGTGTGGCATTCTAATCGGTCGACTGCGTGTTGTATTAGTATAGAGTTACATTACTTGTCCAAAATTTTCATTTTTAGAAGTTGATTTAACTACACTTGAATAATATCTTTCTATTTCAGTCAATCATTTTAAATTTATAGTCATTGATTAATTTATATTCAAGATAATGATCTTGTTTCTTACTTCTTTAGAAATATTATTTTTAAAATTGCTGTTAACAATATCGGGGACTAAAAAAAGCACCGTCATACAATGGAGGATCATTTTGGAACATTTAATAGTTGAGAGACTAAAAAAAACACCCTATAATTGTGAGACCATTTTTGTACTTTACCTTAATTTTTTTTCCGAATTGGGTGTTTATCAACATCGAAAGAGATATTGCAAGAGGCTTTAGTACAACATCATTTGTTAAAATTTTGAGATTTGAAGAAGCAACATGTTTTATTATAATTATGCGATAGTTATGTCTTTGACACCTTTTGATTTTTTTTATATTTACTTTAACTTTATTTCTAATTTTTTACTTGTTATTTCAATTAAATGATATAACTAATATGTACATTTGATGTTATATTTTTTGAAATAAATAAATAATATAGATAAAATCATGTATGATTAAATTCTAGTTCCATCTCAGACAAATATATATTGTCACGACATATTAGAATGACATATAATAATTAGAATAACTGCAACAATTCAAGAAATAACAAAACTATATTTTCAGCAACACAACCTTTCCAATTTTTTTTTATTACAACCTTCCCAATTATTTTGTTTACAAATCTCATTTGCCTTTTATTTATCAATGGTTGTGGCACAGTTACCGTTTATTTGTCAATTGATGTGACATATTCACTACAGTTTACTGTTTTAATTATCACTTATTATAACACATTGTCTTCGTTTTACCATTCTTATTTTTAAATTTTGAGTGCAAACACTTGGAGTATAATTCCAACATCTCTCCTCTTTTATCCTCTTAATAATTTATGTCAATTTTTTTGATCAATTTAATTTTTTTTTAATTTTGTTTAACTTGCGGTGACACCGACTTTGAAGTTGATTGTCGCCATTTAGTTGTTTTTTTAATTTTTTTTAGTTTTTAATAAAAATATTTATGTCTTTGTAACATGTTCTTTACATTTAAGACACGTTTATTTCTGTCTTTGTGATATGTTTTTTCTGTCTTTTGACAGCTTACGATTTTTTTTGTAGTTGTTTTCATTTATTTTTTTCTCAAGGTTGGATTTGGCATCGTCACGACCGATCAAGATGGCGCTTATTTGTTATCATGTTAATCTTTCCTGTTTTGGACACTCGAATTGATTTGTATACGCGTTTTGCATTCGCGGATAGTTTTCTCACGTCACTTGACTCTGATTTGCGATTTGTCAGTGGTCTTCAGTAGCTTCATCCCTTTTGTGGATCGTTTGTCGATGCAATCAGATTTGTTCGTATCTTTATTTTGTTCGAGCATTAATTAGGTTTTTTAATCTTTTTTTTTGATCCTAGTATAATCTATGTAGCTAATATTTATGTTAATGGTTATAGGAAAATGTCCTAATTATAATTTAATTTATGTTTACGGTTATGCTTGTAAAATCTTCATTGTAATTATGAATATTTTTTTTATTTTTAATAAAACTAGAGAGTTTTTATAAAAAAATATAATTCCAACAATTCTTATGGATACTATATACTCGCTACTTTATTATTATTTATATTTATTGACATGTATATTTACATACTTGCGTAATACTCTAAACGCGTAACAATCATCATCGAACTAATTGAATTAGCCAACTCCTATTAACCAAAATAAAATAAATAAAAAATAAAAGTGCTTAGAACATAATTTTTTAAAATTGATGATTAAAATAAAATAGATGAAAAATGGAAATGGTTACTTGTATGGTTAGTATAATCAAAATTTAATATATAATTGGGTGATGACATGTATAGTTTAAATTC